CTTGCAGGGTGGTTATGAAAAATGAATGAGGTAAATCACATAAGGCACTTGGCATGTATAAAATGCTTTACAAAGCTATTATGAAGACCAAGATAAATCTGTAAATATTGATTTTTTTCAAGAAAGACAAAGAAAATAGCCAATTTACCCCAGGAGGCATACTGAGAAGTTTTAAATTCAAATCAATGATTAGTGAGAGAAACTATGTGAGCTTCTCTCATTTTCTTCCTTATTGTGATCAATTAATGTATGCAAATCACATTTAACCTAAAGAGTTAAAAATTTAAGACATATTAGCTTTCTATTAAATGAAATACCAGTTAAAGATCATGTTCTTAATGCCTTTAAATTACCTATCTCACTAAATGTCTCTTCTTTTATTTTTTCCCTCAAACAGGGGAACATCTGAATCCCATTCTAGCAGCTGTACTCAACTTTCACTAACCTTTGAAACTGTGGTTACGGAGTAGAAGAGGGTTTCATTACACCATGTGTTAGTAGGAACCCTTCTAGGTATAAGTGGTAGAAAGTCAACTCAAACTTTTTTAAAAGCAGGAAGTGGTAGCAGTGGGAATTAATGGCTTATGTAACTGGGTTTGATACTATACTGTGGCCACCGGGCTGAACTTTAGGAACAAAAGATTCATTGTCTCAGTGAAGATGGCCATCTTGTCCAAGAGCATTCAGAGTCATCCCAGCTTCAGATCTCCCCACACGGTTGCTGAGGCCTCACCGTGACCACACACTGATCATTCAATTTCCCCTTCTGCCCACTCCTGCTTTCTTATTTTTTCTTCCTTTCCATAGGTGTTTACCTCCAAAGGCACTCTCTAATAAAAGTCCCGAACGCTAATCTCCAGCCTAGGAAACCCAGTCTATAAGAATAACTAAGATGTCTAAGTGTCTCAGGCAGATCAGACCTGAGAATTCAAACATTGTCATCATATCTGTCTCCAAACCTCTCCAGCCTTCCCTAGCTTCTGATTTGATTTTGTTTGTGTTGGCATAATTCTTATGCAACTTCTTAGCACAAGATAATAGAGTCTATGGCAACTGCCGGCACCAAAATAGAAAAGCTTCACCCTCTGTACTCCAGAGTCCCTAATGACTCCTCCCTCAGGCAAAGAACTCTAAATGGCCTTCTTTGGGTCGAGTGCACACCCCTGGGACAAATACTGCGTCCAGGGAGATGAAGTCCCCTCATTGGTCATACTTAGGCAAAGAAAGTGGGGCCGCATAACTCATAGAAACATAGAGTGGGAGCATGGCAGTTCTTGAAAGAACAGCACACACAGAGAAAAAAGGAACAGAAATCAAGGCACCTGGGTGGCTCAGTCAGTTAAACATTGGATTTTGGCTCAGGTCATGATCTCAGAGTTGTGAGACCGAGCCCCACGTCTGGCTCCCCACTGGGCGTCCAACCTGCTTAAGATTCTCTCTCTCTTTCTCTCCGTCTCCCTCTGCCCCTCCCCACCCTGTGCTCACCACCCCTGCCACCCGCTCTGTGCACACGCGCGCGTGCGTGCTCTCAAAAAAAAAAGGGGGGGGGACAGAAATCCCTTTCTCCTCATCACCAGGAACAAAACACACTGGGAAACACACCTCTTCTTCAGCAATTTCACATCTACTTCTGGGAATAAATTAGAAGCCCAATTTAATTTGAAAAATCAAGAAGGAATTATACCTTTCCTTGGGATGCACCGTCAGGGAATTTCCTGGAGACTTGGGTCTGCTTATTTCGTTTTTTTTCTCAGCCAGAGGTGTCTAGGATTTCAATCACATCTGAGGGTGTTACTCATGACTGCCTACTGGGAGGATGAGTACTGCGTTCTATTCACCACAGTCTGGCTTGACACTAAGAGCTTAGGAAACAGTGGAAGCCAAAGCGGCTGGGAGAAGACACAGAGGTTCAATTTTCTTTATTCTCCATGTCCAGTCAATCCCAGTCAACCATTACCTGTTGCTTTTTTATCAAACCCTCTGTCTTTCCAAGAGCGGTGCACATTACAATTTACTTGAACAGTGTTCTCAAAAGGGAAAGTACTTTCCATAAAAGAAAGCTTTTACTCATTTTTTTTTTTTTGCAACTGATCTCTTTCCTTCCAGCTGTGAAACTGATTGAGGTCCTTAAGGCTCTCAAGAAATCTCTACTCACAGCCCTGTGATTACTTTTACAAAGGGGGACAAAAGGCATGGGAGGGAGTGGTTGATTACCCACGGAAAATATTCTTTCTCTTTTGCATTTTCTCACAACTCATGGACGGAGGGGAAGGGAGTTGGAAGACGTTCAAGAAACAAGTTTATGTGAGACAAAGAGCATTATTTCTTAGCATATGAATATTCATGCTCCCCTTAGCATTGCCTCCCCAGCAGAGCACCGGCATCAGGAGGTCAGTGAGAAAATGTGGGAGAGGCTTGAAGATTCCGATGGGATAAAGGAAGATGAAGCAGCAGGCTGGGGAAGAGAAGAGGGGGACCAGTGGAGAGGAGAAGATTTTGAAAAGTTTCACAGAGCTTGATGGAGCTGCCTTTTGCAGTACCCCCCCCCCCCCCCCCCGCACCACCCCTGAGGAGGAGCCTGAGCAGGGCAGAGACAGGGAGAGCAGATGTTTAAGCTGGTTTATTCCTCCTTGCCTCACTTCTTTAATTACATGAGAAAATGAGTACATGCCTCAATTACATTTTGTGTATCAGGCAAAGTCCAGTCTGAAAAACAAGCTACATTTTATTTTATTTTATTTTTAAAGATTTTATTTATTTGCGAGAGAGAGAGAGCGTGTGTGTGTGTGTGTGTGTGTGTGTGTGTGTACAAGCAGGGGGACAGGGGCAGTGGGAGAGGGAGAAGCAGGGAGCCGGATGCGGGGCTTGATCCCAGGACCCCGGGATCATGACCTGAACTGAAGGCCGATGCTTGACCAACTGAGCCCCCCAGGCGCCTCCAAAGCACTACATTTTAACACAGGGAATTTCATACTAGGAATTTGTTGCGTGGCTGACAGGAAAGTGCAGAATCCCCACATGGGTGTGGAGGCAACATAAAGATGAACAACTACAGGAAGTGGTTACCACCCTCGGGGTTGGAGGGACACCGGAAGGAGGTGATATAACTCAAGCCCAGAAGGCAGGGCCATCTGGCAGGGGCCAGAACTCCGGTGGCGGTGATGGTCAGCAGGAGCTCAAGCTCGAGAGGGAAAGGCTGACTGGCAGGAGCTGGAGCCTTCGTGGAAATGCAACCGCTTCCGAGATGCCACTTGAAGCAGAGAGCTGGGGGGAGAAACACCCTGGCTTCTCTCCTGCCCCTCATCCTTCCGTTGGGCTGACCACACCAGAAGCCAGAGGGCCAAGGAGCCTGACAAATGCAATTCTCCCTGAAACGGAGCAGAGCAAGGAAAGGGTGGGGAGTAGATCTCAGTGCAAAGAAGCAAATAACGGGCACATGGTTTCATTGTCTAACTGTATTTCTTTGAATTCACCTCTGTGTGGAATGGAACCATGAAGCTGTCTGTCCTTTATGTGGGTTACTCATGATCCAAGAGCAATGGAGAGGATCACGGTTTAATACCTTTCCTTAAATATTAAGTGCAAAATAGTATTACTTTGCCAATTGTCCTAATTCTGTAGGCTGTCTGAAGTGGTTCATAAATAAACAACAACCAAAACGGTCCATGCTTCTCCTCTTGTTGATTCTCTCATTCCCATTTGGCCCTGCTAGTTCTGCTTTTACCTCTTCATTAACTATAGCTGTTGTAAAACCCCCCTTGTGTTATTTGTCAGCTTTCATCTCATCCTGGGGTTACCTCCTACCCTTTCATGTCCTGAAGACAGAGTAGAAGTCAGGAAAAAAAAAATATGCTAAATCTGGCTTTTGGCATTGGCCACATCTGATGTACCTTTGTTTTGACCTTGTGTACATACCTAGCCTAGAGGATGTCATGTCTTCCTAGGAATATTATAGTCATCCAAACATTTTGCTGTATTTGTTATATTTTTATTTCCTGTAGTTGTATTTGGAGTGATTTTGAATGGGGTTGACACAGTTAGGCCTTTTTTGTTTTTTTCCTTCCTGGTATCTGGTTAGAAGTATAGCCAAAGTACTTGGATTTCAAATCCCAACTTTACTATTTCCTAATTGCATGACCGTGGCCAAGTAACGTAAGTGTTCTGGGTCTCAATTTCCTCATCTGTAAGTGTAATCATAGTAATAGAAACTACTTTAGGGGCGCCTGGCTGGATCAGTCAGTAGAGCATGTGACTCTTGATCTCAGGATTGTGAGTTCAAGCCCCACGTTGGATGTAGAGATTATTTAAAAATAAAATCTTTATGAATCGCTGAATTCTACTCCAGAAACAAATATTGCACTGTATGTTAACTAACAAAATTTAAATAAAAAATCAAAAAACCTTCTAAAAAAACTACTTTATAAGGGTTGAATTGTTAGAATCAAGTGAATTTATTTGTATACTGAATTTAATATATGTGTGTGTATGTGTTTACACAGACATATATGTATAAATTCTTAGGTAAATGTATGTGTATGCACACACACATATGTATCTTAGAAAATTGGCATGATGTAAGCATGCTATAAATATCAACCATCATTATTGTTATTGTTCTTCTCAACAAGACTGTAAAATGCTGCTCAGCCTGTCAAAAGATATTTAATGATTTTTATCCAGCACGAAGTCATGGCTAGTTGAGTGACTTTTTACAAATTGCTATTTAATAACTGATCAGTCAAAAGGTCAAGTCCATGTGTCAAATATATCCCATCAGTGGACTGTTACTTGTCTCTCAGGTGTAGAAATTGGTTTCATTTCCTACTATGGTTAGTTATGATTAGATTATTACAGACCCTTTTTCTGCAGCTTTTTTGTGGTTTGAAGATTTAGGGTTCTTATGGAAACAAGATTTTCAGTTGACCAATGATTAGCTAATTTCTGATAATAGAAAAGGAAACTGATTGCCCCAGGCTGCTGTTTTCATTTCCTCATGGGAAGAAGAAGCAGAGCAGAGAAGAAAAGCAGACACAAGGCATTGAACCTCCATCACCATGGGGAACTGGATTGAGAATGAGGGGCTCTCCATCTTTGTCGTTGTAAGTACCAATGAGAGAGAAATGATAAATTCTCGAACTTGTCTGGGTTCTCCGGGAAACTAAAATAGGGCAAAACTTTTTGTTTGTTTGTTTTGTTTCTTGGAGTAATTGTATTGAAACTGATTTACTGTGTGAACATACGTCTATCTGTAAGCGGGACTGAGTGCACTCTTCCAAACTTATTAATGAAAAGAATGTATCTGGGGGCTCACTTCACCTACTCTATTTCTTGACTCTTTGGGAGTACTAAATCAGCCGGCATTTCGCAGAGGGGGTAGAAGACATTTCATGCTAATGATCTCCGAGCCTAAGTTGTTTGTCAATATTTACTCAGAGGCAAATTCTCTACTTTTTATGTGCTTATACCATTTAAAAATGGGCAATCCTAATTTTACACCATTTTCCAAATAACAGGTACAAAATTGGCTCATGTATGGGAAATGGCCTTTATTTCAGTGATTACAGCAAAAATAATTGAAGTTCTCAACTTCCTTTTTTAAAAAGTACTTTTTTTCCCCTCTGAGGTAAACTTGAGTTGTTTACGAGGTTTATAAAAATTCAAGGAAGGAAATTGAAATAAACTAGACTCATATATACACTGGATATATTATATACATTATATATGACTATATAAATCAATCTAATCTATCTTGAGAAACAATTTTTGTAAGTAAAGATTGGGCTAATTTTCAAATAGACATGTTAATCTCTTTAGTTTTTTACCATGACAAGGACCAACTATTAATTTAAGATGGCAGTCTCAGCAAAGCAATCACGGACAATTGGGAAGATAGAAATGTGATTTATAAATAACCTTTCCAAATAGCCAATGGAAGTATTGTACTGATGTTAAAAAGAACAACTGTGAGTGGGGAATTTTTGAAAGAATTTATCATGAGGTAAAATTGAGTCTTAGAGTTGTAGACACAGAGAGGAATTGGGGGCGCAAATAAAAGAAAAAATAAGAAATATTGTGTCATTAAAAAATTATGCCAAACCAACATTCTAATGCAATATAGAATACTGTTAACTTGATTTCTTACCACCATTTTGAAACCAGATTACTCCTACAGAAAACAAGTTCATATTATACTTTTGGCTCCTAGCACAGTTTTCCCCAGGAGATGACCTCCTCCTAAATTGCACACTCATATGCGTGACTGTAAAGACACAGTCTGGAAAGCAGGAGTGAGAATGACAAGGTTAGGGAATGGAGAAGTTGTTTTAATACCTTCTTCATAAAGAGATCGTTCTCAAGCACCTATGGACCTTTAATGGCGTTAAAGCACGGGTAAGAAAAGATCTTGATGCGGTCAGTGCTTGGGATGAAATGAGCAGTCAAAAGGTAGAGGGGTCGCTTTAAAAAAAAAAATCCCCTGCCCCTCACCCCCTCGTTCATGTTCAATAGTCCCTCTTTCAAAAGTTAAGCAAAAGTTACCAAATAGAATTAAAGGCTTGACGTTTTAGCTGATGTGACTCCCACTGGCTGGGGTGGGGTGCTGTGTGCTGGAGGAAGGTGACAGCACCCGTGAGAGTAGAACACAGTGTCTTATTGGTGCGGGGGACCGTATAGTCACCTATTCCTTTCCCCTCTCTTTTCGAGAAGACTCACCTGCTACTACTTAAGAAAACAACAGAGGGGAGAGAGATTGTTAATGACCTGGCATCCTGGCCAGTAGTAGAACAATCACGGGGAACAACGCAAGGTGGAAAGGTCAATCACAAAGTCTAGTGGCACTGGGGTAGGAAAGAGCTGACTTGCAGCCGGTTACACCCAGATGTGTAACCACCTTTGTTGAAGGCTAGACTGGGGAAGTCCTGACCCTAGTCTGACTCCAATCTTATGTGAAATCTACCGATTGAAGTGTGGAAACTTCACGCAACTATTTCTCTTTTTGCAGCTTGTATGGCTGGGGTTGAATGTCTTCCTCTTTATCAAGTTCTACAGGTATTATGATTTGGACGATCGGTTCTTTTACACTAGAAAACTTCTTGGGGTAAGTATAAGTTCCATCTCATGCAATATTGACTGGCTTACACTTTTAATCAAAGATTCTGGTTCATATTCCTTTCAACACTTTAAATAAATCTTCTGACCAACCCAAACGGCACCATTAGCCTCGCTCCCTCCCTTGCAACCCCCTGGGCAAGAGTCTTTAGGCCTTCCAGTGTGAAATAAACTAAAGTGTGTCAGAGAGTCCCAGCAGCATCCCTCCCATGCCAAGAACTACTGTGCCACTGTTTAGCTTAAAGAAGACATCTAATGCCAACCCTGGAATGGCAGGCAAAGTTGGAGATTGATCCACGGGTGACACAGGTGGGACAAGTGAGATTTTCCGTATTCTTTAAAGCATGTGATTCCTGATAACTTTTGTGAATGGAGAGCCCTGCTCCCAGTGACATGTAGTGAAATGACCTTCAGGAAATAAGCCTCTCCCTCAGATGGAGCCTTTGAGGAACTTGCCCAAGGGTCATAATCATTGACTAGGCCAGCAGAGTGAAGGCCCCCAACTTTCCTTGGGTCCATTAGCATTCTTGATTTCCTTGAACTGCCAGGACTCTTCTTCATGACAAATGAGAATAATTACAATGACAGCCGCCCCCACAGGATACCATTTGTTACATCATGCTGAAACCATGAATTCATGACTTAACACTAATTATAATAGGTATCATATATCATATGTATAAATAATTATAATACATAATAGTACTGCACTATTATAATTGTTGTTAACTAATTCAGGCTGATACTGAGAAGGATGATTTCTCTCTGCTTTCCCCTCCAAAATATGCAACTTCTTTAGGCATTACAAAGAACAATTATAATGCCAAAGCATTACACCAGACCAACTTAAGTTACTGCTGAAGTGAGTCTGAGAACTAAGAAAATCTTCTTTAGAAAGCCCCAGTTTCTATACTGAACTCTAATTAATGATACACATGCTTAAGTATTTAGGGTGGAAGTGAACTGATGTCTGCAATGCATCAAAAATAAGATGTATCTATGGCTGGCTAGAGGGATGGGTAGATGGATGGGCAGCTATGTGATGGTGGAACCTGGGAGATGGGAAAACAGGTGTTCATTGTGAGATTATTTCAAATTCTCTTTACGTTTGAAAATTTTCATAGTAAAATGTTGGGTTGGGAGAGAAGGGCCAAATTAAAACAAAGGATCCCAGCAGGCCCTCCAGGTAGACTCTTGGTTCTGAAGGACCTTCCTTCTCAGATAACTTGACATCTCTGGTGGGCCTCATGCTGGGAACCCTGGAGAAGTGATAGAAGGGTGTTCTGTGCTCATAGGAATTACCTGCTTCCTATCCCACATCTTCCAGTTTGCGCTGCCATTGGCCAGGGCCCCTGCAGCCTGTCTGAATTTCAACTGCATGCTGATTCTGCTGCCGGTCTGTCGAAATCTGCTCTCCTTCCTCAGGGGTTCCAGCGCGGTAAGAGCAAACATTTATAAAGTTGACGCTTCTCGAAATTTTCAAAGGTTATCACACTAAATGTCCTTTCTAAGGAAAAGCATACTAATGGAGTGTGAGGATTCCAACCTCTGTCCAATATTCACAAGCCCAGGGATGCCTGATTCTCCATTTTATTTGCATATTAGTTGTTGATGGAGCTCCCCAAGACAACTATTTAACTTGGAACAGACATTTTAAAAAAAAAACCAAAAAACCAAAAAAAAAAAATCAACCTACACCTCAGGAAGAGCCATAAAACACTTGTGCGTGTGCACACGCACATACACACACACGTCAGACATACATAATATAATATATTATGGACTTTATGAGGCTGACATGGGATTTGGGAATTAATCCTACAGTGACATGTTTTTCAAAATTTTTAAAATTTTTAATTTTAAGAGAAAATTCTCTTCGTGGCTAACATCCCAAGCAGGTGGAATCAAGGAGCGATGAGTCACAGTATAATGAGGGTAACTAAGAGGTATTGAGTCCGTGGAATTGAGGAGTTCAGAGATTTCTAAATGCCCAGGGCGTTTTTTTTAACCCTCATTTCAACAATTTGGTGAGTCCCTAAATGTACTCTGCTAGAAGAAAGAAAAGATTATATAAGAAGAAACTTTGTAACCTATGGTATATGAATTTCTTATTGTTGTTATCATACAAAGATGAAAAACAAGGAATTTAGAATCTACTTAGATCTGTGTACTCAAATAAATATGATACAAAGCAAAATCTGATGGGTCCCGCAAAACATTAGAAATAAGGGGCTATGGGGGGAATCAAAGAAGGAGGGATTGGGAATGAAGGTGGGGCAGGGAATGAAGAAAGGCTTCTTTGAAAAGGTGGCATCAAATATGGGCATGTAAGGAACAAACAAGCCATTAGGAGATGTAAATAAGAAAGACATTCTACATGGAGAAAATGGAATGGGCCAATGCAAAGAAGGTAGTAAGGAAATGGCATTCTTGAAAGCCCCGTAGGAGCGTGACACTTGGCTTCTGTTGGGATTTGTTTGCAGTTCCTGATCCCACCCAAGAGGGTAGCTTGGAAAAGTTAGGGTTTGATGTCTTGGTGAGACCCATTCTACTGGATCATGAGTAATGACTAGCATCTGTTTTTCCTCTTAATAAAATGTATGTGTCTGATATTAACCAGCTTTAAAAAATCCATTAAGTAGAGATAATTTATAGAGGAGAGCAATGACAATCTACTTTGATGGGGACGTAGGGATTGTAAAGGGCAGGTGTCTGAGGTAAGGCTCTGCTGGTAAACTAGGACTTAAATGTATAGCTGAGAAGTTAATACTTAATTTGGCAATCGCGGAATATTTGGGGGAAGGGAAGTGATCCAAACTGTCAATAACAAGTAGAATTTGCCTTGAACTCTGCCTTATTTTTCCTTATCTTACTAAATTTACCAGTTGATTTACGAATACAGGATTAGCGGGATACAATTAACAGTAGACACTGACTACAAGGGTTTCTAAATCATCTTCTCAGTCTAAGAAGCCACGGAGGTAAAATTCCATTTGATTTAAAGTTTTAGCAATGAGCCACCTGTAAAGTACAGGGCCTGGCATACTGTAGGTGCCCAGTGAACATTGGCTAAATGAAGCTCATGTACTGTAGCTTTTTGTTTTTAGGAGGGCACGTTTCATTTTTTTGGCCTTCCCCCCATGCCCTGATGAATACTTTCTATTTAGAGGAAGTAAACCCTGAGAAACAGGCAGCATTTTCACCAGGATGGCCAGTTAAGAAATCCTTGTTACTGCCCAGGCCCAAATTGCACCGCCGTTGAGCTGCCAATGCCCCATGAAAAGCACATGTTGTAATGGCCGCTTTCAGGCTTCCTGTGGCCCAGGAGGGAAGATCTTCACGAAGGTCTTCAAAGGCAGGGACAAAATAAGGCTGCTCTTCAAATTGCAGAGAAGCTCTGAAAATCGGAGAGATCCATATGTAAGAGAATATATTTTTAAAAATTAGTAGCAAGCAACATTCTTTTAGAGACCAGGAGTGTCCTTCCTTCCATGTTTCCCAACCTGAAATGTGAACTTGGCAAACAAAACTTCTTTTCTGACTGGAATTAAAATGAGTGATCATGCTGTGACCAATGTTGGAAATCCAAATAGCTGTCCCCTACTGAGTCTTCATAGAGCTTACCTCATAAAAGCTGCACATCAAGTCAGTGAGATGGGGATGAAATGAAATGGCAATGTTGGAATTCAAACCCGGCTCTTTGTGCCCCCAGAGCCCATTCACTTTCCTACGTGCCACCTAAACTCAAAACTGTCTTCTTGTCATATGACGGTCTTAAAAAGTCCATCGTATATGTGAATGCTGGAGCATCCTGAATAGCCTAGGCCCGAAATGGCAAGACTGTTGTAACTTCAAGGATTTGTTAGTAGATTGCAAACTACACAATCACAGAATGTCCATTCAATTTCTAGTGGTCTTAATCAGTTAGACTTTGCTTTATAATCCTTCTGATTATTTGGAGAAGTAAAGCCCCAGTATTGGCCCACCCTGGGGAAAGTAAAGGTAAAGGCTCTCAGCCTGCTTTGTTGAGGAGAATGGGGAAGGATGGGGCCTAGCATGCAGAAGTCCCTAAGGAAGCCTTAATAATCCCACCTTGCCATGCAGAAACTAAATTCTAATCAGATGGGAGTCCTAGTCTTCAGATCAGAAAGAAAAAAGAAGGTGAGAGAGTCAGCTCTTATCTGTAACCTTATATAGTCTGAGAGTCAGAGGCCCCCAGTGTGGCTCTGTGTCTAACCACATGGTCTAGGGAAGTCTCTTGGACTTCCTGTCTCACGGGTTTTTTTTTTCTTTTTAGCTGAAAAGCAGGTGAGACAATGCAACTGTAAGAATGAATATAACATTCCAAAAGTATATTAATTGACTAAGTTGTCAACTGCTGAGTTGTCAGTCAACAAACATTTGGTTGAGTGCCAGCTATATGCTAAGTACTGGGGACACATGGTGAGTAAAGAGTAACATATGGATGGGCCATGAACTCAAGGAGCTTAGAGTTCTATGGAAGAGATAGAGAAGAAACATGCAACTTTAAAGTTATAAACAGTGCTATACAAATAAACTGATGTTCTTATTTATCACATATCCTACTGCCATCAGATTTGGACATTACTGTCAGCTTCTTTGCCTGAGTTCTATAGATTCAAGGATGGCTTTTGTAATTTCTCCCAAATTGCATATAAACATCTAACTTAAGTGAATTCATGGCATGTGTAGTGAGACCAGGTGTACATAAAATAGAACTTTTAAGTTTCTATATTCGTCATGTTATAGAAACTCATGTTTACCCCATTAAATACGCACTCCTTTTTAGTTCCATTTCTAACTTGAAAAAAAAGTATTTTTTCAGGGCACCTGGGTGGCTCAGTGGGTTGAGTGTCCAACTTTTGATTTCAGGTCAGGTCATGATCCCAGGACCCTCCCTGCTCAGCGAGGAGTCTGCTTGTCCCCTCTCCCTCTACCCCTCCCCCCACTCTCCCTCTCTCTCTTTCTCAAATAAATAAAATCTTTATCTTCAAAAAAATTTTTTCTCTCTTGCAGTTTAAATGCAGCATAGAAATTTGCTGAGATGACTCAATAATAATAATAATGTTAGCTTAGTGAGATCGGGCTAGGCTCGAGGTGACAGTAACAGAGAAACTTCCCTTTAGAAGTCAGTGGCAAAAGGGGTAGTTCAGTGAGGAAGCCATGGGACATGATGGCAGCTTGGGTAATTAGGAGGTAGCTGGCGATAATCCAGAAGGGACTCAAAAGCATAAAAATGGTATTTGTGTGATGAGGAGCAAGCCCTGGGCAGTCAGAGGCAGCAAAGCCCTTCCTTCCCACACCGCCAGCCAGGGGCCTTGTTCCCATTTCAGGAAATGGTGAGGAGATTGTATTTGGAAGCCCCATATAAACAGGACTTGTGACTTCTCTTTGGATTTTTTTTGGGCGGGGCCATCCTGAGCATATCCTAGAGGGCAGCTGGGAAAAACTAGGGACTGGGGCCTTCGTGAGATCCATTCCAATGACCCATTGGTAACTAATGGCCTCTGTTTTTCCTTTTTATGAGATGTGTGAGTTTCATATCAACTAGCTTTTTAAAAAAAACCTACCTATTAAGATCAGAGTATTACAAATGGACCTTTTATTTCTCAAGCACATCTCTCCATTGTTCTGGCATTCAATTTCTTTTTCTCTAACACTCTGCTGCTCAAGCTGATGGGGGCATCAGAATCTGTTGTTCCATATTTTTGATGATCTATATTGATGACGATGAGGGTAGAACTATGGAGACTCTATAGAGGCCACATTAAAACCATATTCCTTTTCTTGAAATTCAGCATGCAGGAACCAGTGTATTTTCCCCCCAAATTTCAAAACAGTTTGTCAGGAAGTAGAAAAGAAAACAGTGTGGCAAGTATAGATATATGGGTAAATACATCTCTATAAGTTTAGAATAATCATCTTAGGTTCTAGAACAGTGAAAATGTAATTCATTTAACCAAATAATTATCAAGCAATTTTTTTAAAAAGATTTATTTATTTATTTTAGAGAGAGAGAGAGAGCGGGTGGAGGGGGTGGAGGGGCAGAGGAGAGGGTGAGAGAAACTTAAGCAGACTCTGCACTGAGCATGGAGCCTGATGTGGGGCTTGATCTCATGACCCTGAGAGCAGGGCCTGAGCCAGACCAAGAGTTGGACACCTAACCGACTGTACCACCCAGGTGCCCCAAGAGATACTTTTTTGAAGCATATGATATATTACTCTGCATATAGGAAGCTTACTTTCTAGCTGGGGAACCAAGACATACTAGCTGAAAAGTTAAATAATGATACAAAAAAACACTCAAATATTTATTAAACACCTCTTAGTGAATCTACAAAACAGACCTATGAGAGGAGAACTATGATAAATACATAGGTAAGGAAGTTAGAAACTGAGCATATTATTCAATGTCACACAGCTAGGTGGTAGGGCTGAGATCCAACACATGTATATCTGATGGCCAGTTTTGCAGAACTTGCCCTCTGAAATGTAATTCAGTACTGATTTCTGATCCTACTGGTCCCATTCTCTCAGTCTCAGGACTCCAATTGTGTTCCATCACTCCAATAAGAACTATATTTATTATCTGTTGCTGTGTGAGAAATTTCCACAAATTCAGTGGCTTAAAGCAACCCCAATTTATTAGCTCACAGTTCTGCCAGTGAGAAGTCCAGCATCCTGTGTTTGGTTGGGTTCTCTGCTCAGCATATTACAAGGCTGAAGTCAAGGTGCCAACTGGGCTGAATTCTCAAATGGAAACTCTGGGTAAAAATCTTCTAAACTCATTCTTGTTGGCAAAAATCAATTCCTTGCAGCTGTGGGACTGAGGTTCCTGTCTCCTTGCTGACAGCCATTCAGGGGCTGCTCTCAGATCCTGAAAGTCCCTGTATTCCTTCCATGTGGCCTCCTCCGTGTTCAAGCCAGTAACATTGCACCAAATACTTCCCGTGCCTTGAATCTCTGAGTTCTTCCGTCTCTGAGTTCTGGACCCAGATTTAAAGGGCCATGTGATTGGCTCAGGCCCACCCAGATAAACTTTCTCTTAAGGTCAACTTGGGACTTTCGTTACCTCTGGAAAGTGCCTTTTGCCATATAATGTAACAAACTCATAGGAGTGACATCCCATCACATTCACAGGTCAGGTCCCACCCCCACTCAAAGGGAGGAGATTATATAAGGTCATTGGGGATCACCTTTTAATTCTTCCTACCACAAGGACTCCAAGAAACTATGGAGGAACCTAGCAATTGGGAAACAGGAAGAAGATATTTCCTTAAAATTGTAAAGAATACAAAGTAGTAAAACAATGTACAGCACTTGAAATAAACAGAAAAGACTACAAGGCTGTATAGGAAACCAAAGACAATTTTTCACCAGCAGAAATGTAGACTAAGTGATTTCAAATAGGAAACCCTTATTTTGAGAACCTGAGTCACTGCCCACCTCCACCAGTGGACACTTAGCTGTAGCTGATGCTGTTGGGGTTTCACTCATGTTCCCTCCACACTTATGGTTCTACAGCACATGGGGTGGCTGCCTTCTGCAAGCCCCACTCATTCTCTGCCTGAGGATTTTCTTTCAGCCCTCTCCTGGGGCAAGCCTGAAATGCCAGGGAGTTGATGCCCTGGGACCTGCCCTTGGCCTGTGACGGATGGGAGTCGGGGGATGAATTCCTAAGCTTTCTAACTGCTCAGGTAAAAAAAAAAAAGAAAGAAAAGAAAACCTCTGGAGCATTTTCTATATCTCTCAGAGTCCTCTAATCAAAGATACCATGTTATGATATGATACGATATATATATGATATGATACATGATAGTGGTAGCTGATCTGATAATACACCCTTCATTGGTAGCCTTCTCTTCCCAATCTCACTTCCCCTGACCTTGTTTTCTGTGATCACCTTGCAGTTGACTTAAATTCTTGTCTTGGGTTTTTTTTTAGACATGTAGAATAATAGTGACTATATCTTTGCATTTGGTTTGGTGGCAAAGGGTATGAACCTTAAAGACAAATAGACTTGGATCCCAGCCAATGTGAGATTTAGCTTTCATTTTTTTAATCTGTAAAATGAGGATAATAATCCTTATTGCATTGTCACTGAATGAGGTAATGATTATGGCTAAACTGCCTGGCTCACAGAAAGCATTCCATAAAGTCGAATTCTTTCTTCCTTTCTCTGGAATCCTCTGTGTCTTCCTCACTAGTAGTATTTCTGCAGCGCCGGGAATCTGCTCTCATGTTCCCATGTTCTCTGTAGATGTAGCTAACCCAGAGATAGTAGAGTAAGCACAATTCTCCACACAACTACATTTTTTTCTATAAAATCAGAACATGTTATTAAAAATAACTAAGCCATGGGGCACCTGGGTGGCTCAGTCGGTTAAGCATCTGACTCTTGATCTCAGCTCAGGTCTCGATTTTCAGGGTCGTGAGTTCAAGCCCCATGTTGGGCTCCATGATGGGCATGGAGCCTATTTAAAAAAATAATAAGTAAGTCAAATATTAAACACCCTTAGATTAAATTGAATATGTTTAGAACCAGATACTTATAATACCTAAGATTTTTTTTTTTTTTTTGGCACTTGGCTCTCCTTAACAGTTGTCTGTATCTTCTTGCAGCCAGGGCAAGCATTTGACCAGGTTTCAGGAGGACAAAGCTTTGATTCAACCATAAAGCACAGTTTGTGTTTTTTTTCTACTTTGGGCATTGACCTGAATCAAGATTCAAATCCACATCTTCCTCCCCTCCCACTTATTTGTTTATTTATTTATTTATTTTGTATTATTATGTTCAATTAGCCAGCAAAATCCACATCTTCTAACATGTATTAGGACAGTCACACTTGAGTACTGACCAAAATACTATTTTAAATGTCAAGGTAATCATAAAAGGTATGAAAACATCAGAATATTGATACTCTGGCATCAGATAGCCTGTATTTAAATCCCAACTCTGCCACTTATTAACTATGTGACCTAAGGCAGGGGTAACCTCTCCACATGTTTCTCCCTAACCTGTCATGCAGTGATAATAATGGTACCTCCCTGCTAAGACTGATGCAAAAATAAAGAGTCAGAATGCATATAAAACACTTAAAACAGCTCCTTGCAGAAGCTCTTTGTAAATATTAGCTATTGTTCTTTTTGCTATTAATATTTGGTTAATGATATCTCCTTGCGATATTGTCTCTGTCAACAGAGGCGGGTGGACAATTTTTACTCCTCGCACAGTGTAGGTCTTAGAAGGGTATTGTTCTAAAACTATTCACTTGTTCTAGAACTGTTCACTTGTCTGTGTCCCCATTAGACTTTCAGGGTCATGTGAAATGCATACAGCTTTCCTATTACACTGCCGGTATCCCTAGGAGAGCTGACTCTTGAATCTCTCACCTGACTAACACTTAACTTACTGGTTGACATCCTCACAAGGATGAGCCTTTGCTAACTGCCCAGTGTGGGACTGTGAGGGAGCTCACATACATTCTGGGGTGGGGAAAAGTGATGGAGAAGACACAGAGACAGAGCTTCCCTCCTTCAGGTCCAAGTAAAATATGCAGAAACTGGTTTTAGGGACCTAACACTTATTGTTCAACAAACTTCTTCGGGCTTCTTGGTCTGAGCTGGTAGTGCATGTGTGTGGTTACTGCAGGTAGGCCACTCACTGTTTGACCTTGGGAAGATGACTACAAGTATCTGAGCCTCGGTTTTTTCATCTGTCAAATGCATAGAATGACATTGTTTTTAGGGTGGTTATGACAATTAAATGAGGTGACACGTATCTACTGCCTGGCACACAGAAAACCTTCTTGTTAACAATTACTACTTTGTTCTTTTCTCCTTAATCCAAAGTGCTGTTCCACAAGAATTCGAAGACAACTGGACAGGAACCTCACTTTTCATAAAATGGTGGCATGGATGATTGCACTTCACACTGGTAAGTTTATTAAGATATTTGAGATTGCAAAGAAAACGTGGAACCAGAGAGTTCCCTCTATTCCTAGATAGCTTTTATTTTTAGAGGAAATCAGCATTCTTAGGTAGATTAGGCGGTGATTGGATATGTTGTATTTTTTAATTTATTTTTTTAATTGAAGTATACTTAACATACAATATTATATTGGTTTCAGGTGTACAACATAGTGATTCGACAATGACATACATTATAAAATGCTCACCATGATAAATGTAGTTACCTTCTGTCACCACACAAAGTTATTCCAGTATTATTGGCTATATTCCCTATGCTGTACTTTACATCCCTGTGAGTTATTTGTTTTATAACTGGGACTTTATATCTCTTAATCTCCTTTACCTATTTTGCCCATCCCCTCACCCCCAACCCCTCTGGCAACCATCAGTTTGTTCTCTGTATTGATGAGTCTGTTTCTGTCTTGTTTGGTTTGGTAGGTTTGGTTTTTAGATTCTACATATAAGTGAAACCATATGGTATTATATATCTATATATATATACACACAATTATACTATATATATATATACAATTATACAATATATATATATACAATTATACAATATATATATTATATACCACTTCTTCTTTATCCATTTACCTATGGATGGACACTTAGGTTGCTTCCATATCTTGGCTATTGTAAATAATGCTGCTATAAACATGGGGATGCATATATCTTTTTTTCAAATTAGTGTTTTCATTTTCTTTGGGTAGAATTAGTGGATCGTATGGTGTTTCTTTTTTTAGTTTTTTGGGGCAGCTCCATTGTGTTTTCCATAGTGGCTGCACCAGTTTACATTCCCAGCAAAATATTTGTACTTTTCGAATGAATTCTGTTAAAAAATATTCACCACTCTTTCTTCCATCCCAATATTAGGGTTTATTCCTTCAAGTCTGAAAACTTTTTTATCTTGGGCTCTTCTGACAAAATCCGAGTGTCTTCACCCTTTTCCATGCTTTTTAATATAAAAAAAGTTAGTCCACAACTGAGAGCTTTTATTTATCCATTAAAAAAAATACTAAGGTTGAACATGTAGATTTGTGGATTTCTTGCAGTAACCCTAAGATAAGATATCTTCTCAACTTACGGGTTGTGGTTCTTGCCACAACCCGTAAGTTGAGAAGATATCTTATTTTAAGGGTAAGATAGCCCTTATCAGCTAAGCGTGTTCTTTATTATTATTGTTATTGTATATCCAATAGGTATACATATGTATATATGTATTCTATATTATGTGTTATTATTATAATTATTAAAGTGGCGGTGTTGGCACAAGGGATGTATCTGGGACCATTATCAAATCTTCACTAATTCACTTAACAAATAAGTGATGTGCCAGGCAATAGGCATGCACACAGGCACAGTGATGAACAAAAGAGATTTTTATTCTGCCCTTAAAGAATTTCCCCATAATTTGAGTAAAATAAGCTTAGATTGCAGGTGTTTAACTGGGTTTCTCTTCTATTAGTAGATCGTGCAGGCTTTCTGAGCTGTGGTGAACGAAATGGTTCAAAAGCAAAATGCATGATAAAATCTTATTAGAAAGCAACATAGCGTAATGGTTAGGAGCAAAGATTTGAGCACCAGATTGCTTGGATTCGATTCTTAACTCTGCTGCTTCCTAGCTTGGTGATCTTGGGCAAGATATTAAAGCAATCTATGCCCCAGTTTCCTCATCTGTAAGACGAGATGATACTAATAGTACTTACATCATTACCTCCATACAAAGATTAATTATAAAGCACTTATAACAGTTCTTGGCACCCAGTAAGTTGTATGTAAGTGCTTGTTAAGTAAGGAATGCAATTTTCAAGAAGATGTTCACTCTTGTGGCCATTGGTTTATATCAGTTCAATAAAATGGTATCTCTCTGGAGTAATGTCAGAGTCAGGTGAATGGGCCAGCCAAAGGCATACATTACATGAGAGTCTTCTTGTTTGAGCATAAATATATCAGGGGGAGAGAAACAATGAGAGCACACCTAAATATCCTCAGAGACCAAGGTTATTTTGTAGAAGCTCAGAACTTGATTGGATCTTTAGGATAATGTCGTTTAACATCTACATTTTACAAATGAGGAAACCAAGACCAGAGAGGTCAAGTGATTTGCGTATGATCACACAACTAGAGAATAGCTTACCCGCTAGAGTTCTAGTCTTGCCTCTCTGGCCTGGAGACCCAGTTCTTGTTTCTAAGTGTCCTGGGCCATCCCTGTGTCTCCCTGTATCTTATCATAGAGTTGGGGGTTATAGGCGGAAACCCAACTTACACAAAAATTGTCTGCACCCTTCACCTTGTTTGTTTCTCTTCTCTGTCCTCTTCAGCGATTCATACCATTGCCCATCTGTTTAATGTGGAGTGGTGTGTGAATGCCCGAGTCAACAATTCTGATAGCTGTTCAGTTTTACTCTCTGAGTTTGAAGATAAACCTGGTCAAAGTTACCTCAATTTTGCTCAAAGTAAAATCCCGGTAAGTCTATTTCTGGATTCAGAGGTCCCTAGGCCGTTAAAACTGAGGACTAGATTTCAGCGAGTGAAGAACTCTACTTGGGCAGAACATCAACAGTGTTAAAAGTTGACTATCAGCGGGCCAAGTCTGTAGTTTCTAAGAATGTGGGTACAGAGAAAATGTCTTCCACACTCCTGATCTCATGCGTGGAGGGTCTCTAGATGTTTTCCAGTCCCTTGGGCTCACCTGTGGAATCTGGAGTAACTCAGGCTCACCCATGACAATGCCCACCACCAAAGAAAAGACAAGAACACACATCTAGTCAAACAAAGTTGAGTTTATCACTTCCTGCAGCAAAAGAGGCCTCGCACCATGAGAAAGTCTGGGACATTCCAGGAAGGTGTTCGTAGAGGCTCGTTATAGGACAGGGACTTGCGTTAGGTGGTTTTGGAGGGGTTTAAGGAAGCAAGGATTTGCTCTGCATCAAGTATGGTCAGGAATTGGGGGTCTTTCTAGGATTGGGTATCTTAGCAGCAGTCACTTGTGTTGTTGTCTTGGCTCTGACATAATTCCGGAGTGGTCTTTTTTTTTTTTTTTTTTTCCTCTCACTCCCTCACAGTCACCGAATGACCTCGTCTGATGTGAGTGTTCTAGGAAATTGTTTATGTGAATTAGGGAACACTCAGACCTCGGTGTTAGTACTAGGCTGGCCACCAGCTGACAGCCGACAGAGATGCATTTCTTCTTTCTTGCCTACAACATCTGAGGGGTGGCCTATGTCTGCTGATTATCGGCCCATGGGAAGCACAGTGCACTGGGAGTAACTCCGTGGTCTTCCAGGGGCAGCCATTTGGGGTATCCACAGCAAGGACTGCTTCCCATCCAGCAGTTGTTAGAGCTTCCTACACTCAGACGGAGAAGCTCCGAGTCATCTTCATGTGCCCAATGGCTTGGGAGGATGGCCAAGTCACATAATTATACACTGAATCCCAAACGTGTTTCCTCGTGTTTAGAAAAGATGAGAAGAAAAGTCCCTTAACGTTGCAGAAATAATTCTCCTCAGGCTAACATGAAAACAACTTGCATAAAAGAAAACAAATTCCTTTTCTGTAACTTCTGGGATAATTTTTCCTTCATATTGTTCATTGTTCGTACAATGATATAGAAGGAAGGCAATGTGAACATACTCAGTGAGCCGATGCTGTCATGCTCTGCCTGGATCCCTTTGCACCACTTGTACTGTGTCTGTGCTCCCCCGACCTTTCTGTGTGTTTTCACTTCTCAATTTCTGATGCCAGCGTTTCTTCCTCAGAGGACCACCCTGGGGCTATCGGAGTCCCTTGGCCCACAAACTCAGAGATCTGGAAGGGTCTGGATGGCTCCCTCTCTGTGGGCAGCCGTTAGCCAATAGCTGATGGGTGCAGGTCATGAAAGACCAGCTTCCTTGCCTTGAGTTGGGGATGAACTCTGAGGTGTGACCTACCCTCCACAGTTCCTCTGCAGCATCAGGCTGAAGCTACCTTCTCTAAAGACTTGGCCTGAGATCACCCTCGTGTTTGACTTGTTCCTCTTTCCTGTCCTATTGCCCATCTTGTCACCAGTTTCTTCTGGAGCACACCTTTTTAAAATCACTTGCTCATGAATCCTCATCTCAAGGTCTGTCTGCTTCAGGGGAACCCAGCCTAAGATGGGAGGCATGTCCAGAATACATTTGCCAACCAAGCACTGTGGTCCTTTCCAAACCAAAGGGAGAAGGAGCCTCAGACCCTTTTAGGACATCTTACAGTTGGCTGATATCCTTTATTCGATACTCCCTTAGAACTATTTCAGTGTATCGGTTAGTACTTCCTGTGACGCCCTGACCATGTAAGACAGTTTTAAATTGAGAAATATCTATTCTAAATCTATCTCACTCTGTCAGGGATGGTTAGGATTATCGGAAGGGGGAATGAAAATACCTATTGGCCTCTACACCAGACGCTTTATAAATAGATAGTCTTGCATTTGAGAGCCTATGAGTAATGTGTGTGTGTGTGTGTGTGTGTGTGTGTGTGTGTGTTTGTATTTTGCAGAATCCTGAAGGAGGCCTGTATGTGGCTGTGACCCGGCTGGCCGGCATCACTGGTATTGTGATCACACTATGCCTCATATTAATTATCACCTCCTCCACCAAAACCATCCGGAGGTCTTATTTTGAAGTGTTTTGGTACACACACCATCTTTTTGTGATCTTCTTCATCGGTCTCGCCATCCACGGAGCTGAGTGAGTGTTTAATCTCTGAGGTCAAGTATTTTAAATCCTTTAGTTTCCAGGTGTGATGCTGTTAGAGGCACAGTGACCTCTTTGTGTGTGGTCAGACTCTCTGCTGGGGGGATATGAGGAGACATCAGAGGTCAGTTGGATAGAGGCCACTCAGCAGCCTTTTCGTTTATTGCACCTGATTAATAGCAATTATTTCTGTAGTAATTTAACAATAGCTATTATTAATGCAGTTAATTCTAGCAAGCTTGAAAATACACCAACGTTTGAGTACCTCTCCAAGTATGTAAAACATGTTAAGGGTGCTGGAAGGGTCTTGGATGTCTGCAGTGATGTTTCTTATGGCTTAATCACTAGTAAATTAGACAAACTCCCAAACTAGAGGGGCTAAATTAATCAGGTGAAAGGGTTTGCTGTAGTTCGATGAGCTCTGATTCAAGCTGGACATGTATTGATTGCCTACTGTGTATGAGGACTGGTCTCCGGCACGGTGGGGAATACTAGGAGGAAAAATACATGATTATTGCCTTCCAGCATTCTAATACAATAAAGGTAAGAGCTCACTTCTCGGGCGCCTGGGTGGCTCGGTCTTTAAGCGTCTGCCTTCGGCTCAGGTCATGGTCCCAGGGTCCTGGGATCGAGCCCCGCATCGGGCTCCCTGCTCCGCGGGAAGCCCGCTTCTCCCTCTCCCACTCCCTCTGCTTGTGTTCCCTCTCTCACTGTGTCTCTCTCTCTGTCAAATAAATAAATAAAATCTTTTTTTTTTCTTTTAAAGAGCTCACTTCTATTGAGCACTCATTATGGACGTGAAATATTTCTTCTAGGTAGAGATCCTCTTACATCCCCATTTCCTGGGGAAATTGTAGACAAGGAAACAAGCTAACAAAGGTAAACTATGTAGCCCAAGTCAGCCAGTTTGTAAGTGGCATAGCTGGGATTGGGGCCCAGGTGGTCTCAGGCAGGCCGTGACAAATACTCTCATAGAGACTCACAGTGCCTGCATGTGTGGTTGGGACAGTTCATCTTACCGGAAATCCTATTTAATACCAGGTTTCCTTCTTATGCTGTTTCACACCAGCTGATTCTCCCACCTGCACACAAAAGTAGGCTTGGGGAAGTCCCCTGGTGGGTTTGGGGCTCCACATAACTAAGCATCAAGAGAGCACCTGCTCAAGGCTCAATGACTGTGCTGGGAGCGAAGTTGGCCTGGAGGTGACTAAGACCTGAGTGTGGAAAGGGGAAAGGGCAGGAAGATGCAGCATTGGGCAACCACTTGTATGCATTCTTGATTGACTTGCTGACTCTGACCCCTGATCAACTCTTTCTAAGCACTGAAGAATCTGTGTAGGCCAAGAATCTCTTGACTCTCCTAAAGCAATTGAGTATCTTTAAATGGGATTTGATCATAAGCCAGCTGTTTCAGGGAATCCTAGAGACAAAAAATGAATCTCTTCCCCTCTCTAGTTTAGTACTTCCACCGCTTTATGCTTGTATAGTTTCACAACTATGCATTTTCCTTTGGAGCAGGCAGACGAGGTATATTTGCCCCACTCTCCATCTGAAGAGAATCTGCTACTTACACTGGTTGGCTGATTGCTCACAGTCTCATGGCCTTGGCAGCAGCAGCTGAACTGGGATTAAAATCCAGGTTTCCTGACTTCTGGTCCTTGCACTGAGAAGAGGGGAGAATCCAATTTTGTTTTGTCTCCCTTACTCCCCATGTGAACTTGGGCCTTAGGAATTTTGACAATTATCATTTGTTGGACTCTTACTTTGTGTTGACATATCTTATGCATCAGGCCAATTGATCACTAAAATACACCTTTAATTAGGTATTATTATACCTATTTTACAACTGCAGAAACCGAGGTTCAGAAGAAGTTAAATAACTTGCCCAAGGCCACCAAACTAGCAAGGGGTCGACCTGGGATTTGAAACCAAGGCTGTCTGACACAGGCCCAAAATTGTTTTCTCCAAATCATTCTGCTTCTAAGTTACTAGTTTCTCTAAGCCTCGGTGTTCTCATGTGTCAAATGGGGGTGCCAATACTTACCATTTAGGCTTGTTATGAGGGTCAACCGAGATAATTTGTGTAGAGTAACTTTACCCAGGCCTGGCACATAATAGATTCTCAGTACATGGTAACTCTCTGCCCCAAGGCCTAGGGATAGAAAAGGATGGTTAACAGCCTTGAATTAAAACATTCACAGAATATACCAAGTGGCACAAGAAATTTTAGGTCCCCCATACAACTATTACAAAGGGGGCCTTCTGTGTCTCTTCTTAGTATATATTCTGAAGACCCTGTCATTTATGTTCCTTGAGGTCAGGAACATGACTTACCTGACTTTGTGCCCCCCTTCCTCTGTTCCCAGTAAACCCACATTGTCTTGTGTGTTAGCAGTTGCTCAATTGAAATGTATGGAATCGAAATGAATGTGCTCTGAGCGCTTCCAAGGACACACCATTAAGTGTTGATATCTGTGAGAATGTCATAATCCCCACAAAGTCTCCTTAAACTGATTTCAACCCTTTCGGTTTACTTTAGACAATTTTGGAGCAACAAATGAAGTGCTTGGACTAAGCCTCGGAGCTACTGTGTGTGATGGTATGGGCTGTCAACCACACAGGGTGCCTGTCCGTGGGGCGTAAACTTCGCCCATGCTTTGCTCGCCAAGCTCTTTGCTTCTAGGACTGTCCTCACAGAGGGAGCATCTTTTTGTAATTTGCACAAAGACACTGTATGGGCGAGTACTTGCTCTGTTAGATTTGCGGTTTTCCTGTTTTTGTCTGTTTGTTTATAAATGAAAATAATACTCGAAACAGAAGCACAAATGCTCCCTTTAAGAAAACATGTACTGATGATCCAAAACTTACATATTCTTTGTGTCATTGTATATATGTTTTTTTATATTGCTGAAGAAGACATATTTCCTTTCCCTTCCTCAAATCTACTCAGAGGGGTCAATGAGATATTACTGTTAAGTGGAAAGTATAGGATCCATACTAGAATACTTGAAATATGCCCAGATTCTCTAAAAACTAAGAACTTAATTTCTTGCTACTAAATGGTCTGGACTTACATTTCCTCCCCAGGCGAATCGTTCGCGGGCAGACCCCACAGAGTTTAAAGGAACACTCCCCTAAAGAATGTGGCAGAGACCCCTCAACTTGGGGAAAAACAAAAGAATGCCCAATCCCACAGTTCTCTGGGAACCCTCCTATGGTATGTACAGTTCATTGTTACTGTTACAATTTCATTACCAACAATCTTCCAATTGCGTCTAAGAAATATGTACAAATGTCATAGAGCTGTCCATTACGAATGCCATGGAACTGCTAGAATGTTATAAGTATCTACTTTTTTCTGCTATACTTATTGTCTAGAATTATTTTTTTGAAAGGTAAGGATTGCATTGGTCTATTATGAACATCTTGATATAAAACTTGGAAAAGCATTGTTTTTGAAAGTGCTGTTGGGGTTCAAGAAATTCCATCTCTTCTCTTCTGGATGTGAGGGCCACAATAATACCAGTTAATGGTTTCCAGAGGGATTCCATTCTAAGCTGAGTTGGATAGCTCAGATAATCACTTACAAGGAACTAAGAGCCTTTTCAGATACCAGGAAGTAAGACTTTCTATTCAGCTTTCAAAGCTGGGAAGGAAATTATGAAGTAACATATAGGGCTGCCCTTAAGCATCAGGAGGCCGTGTCTACACCACATAAAGGACGCTGGACAGCCAGGTTTGTACCAATGCAAGAGGATGGCAAGGCTGACCAAGGGAAAACATGGTAGAATATTCACCTTCTGTTGGGAGCTCCTCTTGCATGCTCTGCAAAGTTCCGTTTTGTGTATTCTCAATATCCCCGCTCCATTGAGTGAGAAGTGGGCCTTGTGTTCTTCATATCTTTTCCTCCATTAGCAAGCAGTGTACCTTTGGTTACCATGCTAAGCCCTGGTATAAAGCTAGGCAAAAATCAACATTGGTACAGGGCTTCTGAACAGGATTAGTATTTTTTTAAGCACAGTATAATGTAAAGTCAAATGTCCCACCCCATTGCCTCCTTTCTTTTTTCCTACTGTCTTAACGTAGGAGTTTTCTTCCTCTAAGACACAGTCTGCTATCCAGGGACTTAGCACCTTTAAGCATCCTTGCTCATTAATGAAAGCAGCCAGAGGTATCAATGAACTGCCCCCACTACATGCACACATCAATAGAAAGGATAAAAAAAGAACTGAATTGCAGGTCCTCTTATGGGTTAGGGGAAAGCACATTTCCTTGAAGACAGCTGGAATCAAGGTACTACGATCTTAACAGGCATCTACCGCAAAGGAGCTTCTGGGTTTCTGGGATTAGAGGCGATGTCCAAGACCTCACTCCATTTGATGGAGCCCCATTGCGGCGCCCAGGAAACAGATGGATGGTGCCCTGCTATTTTAAAAACCTGTCCCATGAAAACAAAGGCCAGCAGCAGAATAATTCTGACTTTCAGGGCAGATAGTCTTCAACTTTGGTGGAAGGTGGGGACATTCAGGTGCTCTCAACTTCCAATCTGCAGTTTTTTCAAAACATTTAATAGAAAGATCATATGTGAGACTGTAGGAAGCCCTTTGTGATTTCTTTTTCTTTCTTGCAATCCATTCTGAAATGCCATCCTTTAAATGATATCGCCTCCTAAAGCTCTTTACTACTTCAGGTATTAAACTAGGAACCTAACTGACTGAGTCCCAGGATGGATCTGTTTATCCTAAAGGTTTTCATGTAGCCAATAATACTACAGGGTAATTCCAGTGTTGTGAAACACTGAAGATTCTGATGAGAGAGGAATCTAAAGAAATCTGAAAATCTTTGGGCTTGTTCCTCTTCAGCAGGTACATTGCATAGCTCCTAGAACTTACCAGGATATTGGAGAAACAGCTAAATTCTTGCATGAAATTTTTTATCTTGCAAAAGATTAAGCTTTGACTACATGATTGAGAGAAAGCAGCTGCAATGTTGCATTAAAAAAAATATGGTGTTGTTGAAATGCTATCCTTAAGAAAAATGTTAATTCTGAAACTAATCTTGCTCTGCTGTAGGGTTACTGCAACTGCTGTTGCAACACCGGGAGGAAATCCCATTCTTGTGGGCAGTTCCTCTTGGGAGAGTCTTATACTGTAGATAAAGTTCCCCGGTGTGGCCAAAGGAGAATGCTCATTTCTATTGGCTCAAAACTTTAACTTTCGATATTTTTCATGCATTCTGTTGTATGAGAAATTTATGAATCGGATATCAGATATTTAAACAAGCCTATAAAGATTAACTTGACTTCTAAAATGTTTTGTTCCCATTAATCTTATATTAGCTATTACCCCTTAATACATCCTGTTTTCATTTTTTGTTCTGATTACAGACATGGAAATGGATAGTGGGTCCCATGTTTCTGTATCTCTGTGAGAGGTTGGTACGGTTTTGGCGATCTCAACAGAAGGTGGTCATCACCAAGGTATTGTCTGGTTTAGTAATTACTAGTAGCATCTAACTATATCATGGACAAGTTTACCCAAGTTCTCTGTAGCATTGATCAGAGCTGTCTTTCACTCGGTTTCTTTTGATTAAATGTAGAGCAGAGAGAAGACCTACAGTTGAATTCAGTCAGTATACTTAGCTTGATAATCAAATGGTTGGACCTTTTAACTGGAGCAAGTACAAGTTAACATTTTCTGTTGAAAAATGAAGCTGACGGTTTTGTGTATATGAATCTCTCTCTCTCTCTCTCTCTCTCAGTGTGTGTGTGTGTGTGTGGAGAGAGAGAAAGAGAGAGAGAGGAGGAGCATACCATGATGAATGTGAGCAGGTTAGAGTGAAGAAGCAAAGCACATGAGTTCAAAAGGGTACACACTGAGCCTTAAAATACTCAGATGCCAAAAGAACCAGGGAGCCAAGGGCAGGTCTGATTGAGGTTGAGGTAGTTTTCCAGGTCTCCCTTTACCTCCTTTTCTGTGCTGTGTATGTAATCACAGAATATCAGAGTTGGAGGACCCAAAGTCTCAAGGAGGTTAGTAACCAAACTGCATCTAGAATCGAGTCTGTTGACTCCAGGTATATGGTGGCTCCCCCCCTCCTTCTGTGCTGCTTCTCATTACTAACTAAATAAATATCCAATTCAATAAATAGAAATAGAAACTCCTGGTTATAGTTCCAGGAAACAAGAGACAAAACTAGTTTTATCAAATAAAATTGAATTCAACTCAATACAGTTCAAAAAGTGTTTACTAAAACCCTGGTATGGGCTATTCTTGCAAAACACATGAATTCTTCCTGCCCTCCACCCTAGCTTTTCTTTCTTGGCATCTGTGGAAGGCCAGAGGAAAGTCAGTCCAGCTGGCACTGGAAATCTTGAAATACAGGAAGCTACAGCAGTTCTCCTTTTATGATACTTATACTGTATTAGAAGAAAAAGCCCACAGAAGAGCAAAAATGGCTGCCACAGAATTTCCCTTACTAGGCTAGACCTGACTAAGCAGGCAAGCATTTCCCTTGAACGTATTTTAAAGGCAAATCTGTTTTCCTGTGGAGAAAATAGATACTCATTTTCTTCTCATAAAAACAGATATTCATTTTCTTCTCAAAAAAAAAAAAAAAGAAACAAGGTGTCATCCAAAAGTATGCCAGTGTCAATTCTGCTAGTGCATTTTATTTAGTTTAATCCTGATTTCACCTGTGGCAGCAAAATTGCAAAAGGGGGAAAAGAATGTTTTCACCATACAAAATTGCCACATGGTGAACATCATTTTCAAAATAATTTTTGTCGATTTTTATTTTTTTTGTTTTCCAAAATGAAGCTTTAAGATTCTTTATTTCCATGATGGAAGGACGTGAGGTACTGCTTTATCATTTAAGATGGAGTGAAATCACAGGTTTTGGAAATGTTTGGCAATATTTATCAAAAGGATTGCCCATCTTACCCCTCCTCACTCACGGAAAGAAAAGCTCGACACTATCAGTCAACATTTAGGGAGCTCCTATTTTGTTTCTGTTGATTTTTCATTGCCCTGATGTCCCTTGGTTTGTTTTTCAGTTGTACATAGAAAGTCCTGGGTATCTCAGGAATCGTCCCAGAAACAGTGTATTGCTGTCTGTATTGTAATGACAGTTTTTCATTGTGCTGCTTTGTTTCTTAAAATTATTTACCACCTCACCAGCTGATGGATGTTTGGACTGTTTCCAATTGTTTGCTGTTCTAAACAAAGCTGTGACGAACACTTGTACACATGGAGAATGAGGAAGGCAATGGGTGGCGGGGGGGGCTGGCTTTGGGAGAGCTGGTGTCTTAGGCTGGACTCCCTGGCAAAGGCTCTGAGACAGAGAATTGCAGACAGAAGGTTGACTGGGGCATGTTCTCAGGAGATGAACCTGTAAAAAGAAAGACAGTCAGAATCAGGGAGGAAATGAATGACCCTCACTCAGTTGCTGCTGCAGCCTCAGCTGATCCTACAGGGAGTGTGGGGGTTGGGATGACACCTGGGAGTTGGCAGGCCGTGGGCTCCAGCTGAGGGCAAGTCGCCACGAGAGACACGTCTGCTCGAGGAAATGCCTCGTTGGGCCTGAAGAGGGGATGTGGGTGGGGCATCTTAGCTCAGCCTTTTGTCCATGTGGACACTGAAAAGGCAAGTATTTGGGGAAAGTGTAGTTTCCAGAGACACGTTTTGTTCCGTAGGTGGTCACTCACCCTTTCAAAACCATTGAGCTACAGATGAAGAAGAAGGGATTCAAGATGGAGGTGGGACAATACATTTTTGTCAAGTGCCCCAAGGTGTCCAGGCTGGAGTGGCACCCTTTCACACTGACCTCCGCCCCTGAGGAAGACTTCTTTAGCATCCATATTCGCATCGTTGGGGACTGGACGGAAGGACTTTTCAATGCTTGTGGCTGTGATAAGCAGGAGTTTCAGGATGCTTGGAAACTACCTAAGTAAGTGCAAAGCGCATTCTTATGGAAGTGCACGAGTTCAGGAAAAATGTCACCAAATAGTTCCCCTTTTCCCATCTCTCACTACACTGTCTCCTGGGTCTGAGCAAACACACAAGTTCTACAAATATAGGTAGCTATCTCGGTGTTCCCCATTTTATGTATGTGGTGCATTTAGGCATATACTAATAAATCTTGTGTGAAATATAAAGTGTTTGAATCAAATATTAATAATGAATATTCCCAAATTCCTTTAAATGTGTAAGGGTCAAGGCCAAGGTGTATTAGCTTTTCTAACAAACGAAGTTATAGTGTATCAAAGATATTCTTAAAATTTAATTGACATATGTCATTTGAGGGTAAATGCCAAAAATTATTCGCTTTGCCCCCTTCTTCCCACATGTTTGAGATGGTGCCAGGCACTTAGTAGATGCTAAAGAAAAGCTTGTTGATTGACTCAATGAATAGACAAATGAAAAGTGAAGATATTAAATTTACAAGATGCTATGACAGAAAATTCTCACTTTACTTCAGTGTACAATGTGAGCAGGAATTTCAGCTGTGGGATGCCCTGGCAAGAGGTACAGGTGTATGTGTGTGTGAGTGTGTGTGAGTGTGTGCGGTAGGTGGAAGGGTGGAGAGATGAAAAAAGTACCCCTGAGAGTTACCAAATGTTTTCAGTTAGCTAAAACTTCCTCTTCTTACTTCCAACCACTATGTCGACACCAAGTGGGTTATTTGAAAGCCATTTCATAGAAGAAAGTGCCCCAGGGATACATTGTCCCAGTTTGATGTGACATATTGCACACCCCCAGTAATAAGCTGTGCCCCATCCTACTCTGCAGTGCAAGGTAGCTCTCTAACCACCTCCTCACACGCTTCCCTCCAGGATAGCTGTGGATGGGCCCTTTGGCACAGCCAGTGAAGATGTGTTCAGTTACGAGGTGGTGATGTTAGTGGGAGCAGGGATCGGGGTCACACCCTTTGCATCCATTCTCAAGTCCGTCTGGTATAAATATTGCAACAACGCCACCAATCTGAGGCTCAGAAAGGTAAGTCCCTTCGTTTTTTCAGAGGGCTTGCTTGGGGCAGTCACCACACTCTGCCGAGTGAAGTGTGAGAGAGCCTTCGGGGCAGAGACTGGTGGGGACCAAAGGAAATGGAGACAAGTTCCGGGTGGTTTCAGAGAGACAGACTTCTCATAAAATGTCTATTTGATAAGTCACATGTGCTTGTATATAAACAGGTCTATTACTGCAAGTAATATACTGCACTTGTATAGCGTTAGGAGAAATTGGGAAGAAAGGAAGTGGGGACAGAAAGTGTTGACAACCCCAACTCGGCAGCTGCCCTTTTGGTGGATTCTCTTCCAATATTTTCTCATATTCTTTGAAAGTTGTAAATATTGAGTATATATACTTTCATGGCCTGCTTTCAGAAAAAACATAGTGTTTTTTCAGTGTTGTCACAGGCTTTATGATGATCCTTTTTAATGATTCCTTTATGTTCCATGGAGAGGATACAGAATAATTTTTCTATCGTCCTTTATTAAATACTGAGATTGATTCCTTTTCCAGTCCCCCAGTAATTTTTTTTTTTTTGCAAGGAGAGGGCAGGAGACACGTCCTTTCATGAAACTTTTACTTACTTTCTTTTTTAAAAAAAAAAAACTTTATTTTATTATGTCATGTTAATCAGCATACATTACATCATTAGTTTTTGATGCAGTGTTCCATGATTCATTGTTTGCGTGTAATACCCAGGGCTCCATGCAGAACGTGCCCTCCTTAATACCCATCACCAGGCTAACCCATTCCCCCACCCCCGTCCCCTCTAGAACCCTCAGTTTGTTTCTCAGAGTCCATAGTCTCTCATGGTTCGTCTCCCCCTCTGATTCCCCCCCCTTCGTTTTTCCCTTCCTGCTATCTTCTTTTTTTTTTTTAACATATATTGTATTATTTGTTTCAGAAGTACAGATCTGTGATTCAACAGTCTTGCACACTTCACAGCGCTCACCATAGCACATATCCTCCCCAATGTCTATCACCCAGCCACCCCATCCCTCCCACCCCACCCCCACTCCAGCAACCCTCAGTTTGTTTGCTGAGATTAAGAATTCCTCATATCAGTGAGGTCATATGATACATGTCTTTCTCTGATTGACTTATTTCGCTTAGCATAGTATCTTATGGGTATCTCCTCAGAATTAATTCCCAGGGCATTTTTTGGTCACGTGTAAATTTGGTTTCATTGCCCGATAAAGGACATCTTGCATAAAACGTGAGTCATTCGAATAACTTTAGAGATAACCTCGAATAGGGACATTGAGCATACATTGACTTTTTATTCTCCCCTTTCTCTCTTTACTATATGGAGGAGGTATGGGGAGAGCGGCTTTTTTCCTAGCAACTCAGGAATGTCCAGCATAGCAGGCAGCGAAGTAGTCCTGTGGTCGCCCCCTTAGCCTGGATCCCATTGGTCTTTCTGAGAGGAGGTACAAAGGAAGCCAGGGACTTGAGGTGGGCAAGAGCAGACCCAGAGGGAAAGTGGTGAGCTAATGTCGTTTTCCTTAGCCATGCCTTTCAGAGACCAAGCTCTTTATTTACTGTGAAGGCCTGTGCAGGTTCATGTGAGCAGGCTTGTGAAATGTCCAGAGCTTTCTGAAAACCTATGTTTCTAGGTGTTCTGAGCAGAAGGAAAAAGTTGGTGGGAGGGGAGGGTAGAAATCCATATGTCAATTCCGATGAGGCCCGTTTACATAGACTCTGTCTCATGATCTGTTGTTCTTGCAGATATACTTCTACTGGCTGTGCCGGGACACACACGCCTTTGAGTGGTTTGCTGACTTGTTGCAGCTTCTAGAGACCCAGATGCAGGAGAGGAACAACGCCGGCTTCCTCAGCTATAACATCTATCTCACAGGCTGGGATGAGTCTCAGGTGAGGGCGAGATCCCAGCTCCGGGGTCCTCCCCACAGTGCCCGGGGCTGACTGACAACTACCCTTTGTTTACCGGAGTGTTTTGTGTACTGTTTTTACCAAGAACAGTTGATGGAATTGGGTGATCTGGCCCGTTCACTCTCACTCAGTGTCCCCACATGTTCAGACTCTTGAGACTAGATTCAAAGCTCGTATCTGTGGAACCTAAGGAGCCCACAAGGGAATAAGAGCCATGCCTTTGGCCTTATTAGACAGAGTCATGCTCCTACCAGGGGTCTTGAACCAGCTGGACAAGACGATCCACAGGGTAATGGGAAGAAAATATTAGCTGTCTTTCTCCCTCTCTTTATGCCTCTCTCTCTCTCTACCTGTCTTTGTATCTCTACACACACACACACACATTCCTTTAATTTTATGTTTATGTGTCTTTTACAATATACACAATACATTTAGTAAGTAGTAATAATAACTGCTCATAGTTACTAAGCATATACCATGTGCTAGGTATTTTTATTAGTGTTTACATAGATTGTCTAATTCAATCCTTTACAACAGCCCTATGAAGCAGCTACTATTATTGTCCCCACTTTACTGATAAGGAAGCCAAAGCCCAGAACAGGTTGGGTCATTTGTCCACGGACACCCAACTAGTAAGAGGCAGAGATAGAATGTTCCAGAGCCTGCACTCTTAGCAACTCCCACTAGTTCATGATTATCATTTATAAATAAATCAAAACGTATTTTAATGAAAATGATGTATGTGTGCATATGTGTATATGTATATAGCATATACATGTGTATATATATGTGTGTAATCTAACATAATGCATAATACATAACACATTATATGCACACACACACACAGCCCTCCCTCCAGTGACATTTAACGATGAAAACATTCTACAATTTATAAGACAGCACCCCCCCCCCCAACAAAGAATTATCTGGCCTCAAACGTCAAAAGTGCTCAGACTGAGAAACTCTGAAACAAGTTAATGATTCCTAGGGGGTAAAATCTTTCCTTTTTTTTTTTTTTTTTGAGATTTTATTTGAGAGAGAGCACAAGCCAAGGGGAGAGGCAGAGGGAGAAGCAGACTCCTGCGGAGCAGGGAGCCCGATGGGGGGCTCGATCCCAGGACCCCGGGATCATGATGTGAGCCGAAGGCAGATGCTTAACTGACTGAGCCACCTAGGCGCCCCTAAAATCTTTCTAAATAAGCAAACATCAGTGATTTGGCCTGGAAGCAGCAGAAGCAGCATGAGCTCCCCCTGCGTGAGGAGCTAAGGCAAGAGCCTCTGCCTGGCCCCTGGCTGGTGTCTCAGCTGTCCATAGCCACTCATTGCCTCCTCCACCCCGGGCATCTTTCACACACACCTTGGATTGTGAAAACTGACTCTTCTTTTGGGTTTTGGTGTACTGATTATCATAGGTCCTCCAAGTCTTAGAAGAGTCTTATTGCATGTAGATACAGGAACCTATGACCATGAACATGGCTGCTCCACAAAAAGGGATTTTAAGAGCCATTTCTGCAATTTGAAAACAAAACAACAACAAATATTGATAAAAAACGAAACTCAGGGGAAAAAATCTATAAAATATAAATTACTTTGCAGTTTTATTATTTAAAAAGCCAGACACGGTTTTTTAAATGAGAAATTTATTTGCATTGAAAAATAACTGTTTTGCTTTACAAAACTGGTCCCTACAGGATTATTAAACCACAGTTGTCACCCTTCTTAACCTCCTCCGTCCCCATCATCCATCCCCTGGCCGGTGAATTTAAAATCTGATTCAAGTTTTAAATAAATTTAATCAACCACTTTTATGAAAAATGTTGTTTGAACCGAGGCCCCCTAGAACGGTAGCAGAAAACAACATGTGACTATGGATACACACACACACACACACACACACACACACACACACACACAGACTAGCTTTAGGCTTGATTTGTTGTCTCATTATGTTGCCAAAATATGACTGCACTTTAATCTGTGGTTGTTTTAGTTCTTAGCGATTCTCCTAAAGGAGTGGGAGTCTATTAGGGTGAAGAGAGAAAGTCACATGTAGAACGGAGAGAAAAACAGTGGGACAGAATTTAAATCCTACCCACACCTTCAACGCCCGACGCCAAGTGTTGCCAACCCGCAATCTTCCCACATCCTCCCATCCCACTTCCCTCCCTTGCCCTCAGACATTTGTGTCTCTCCTGCAGCATTCATGATACCCTATTCTACAAATAGGATTACTCACGTTCGCACTTCAAGGTCTGCCCTTCTAGACTGTAAATTGCCCGAGGAGACCCAGTTTGTTCGTCTTCGTGTACCTTCTAGCCTTCAAATATATATATGGTTAGAATGGGTAGTGAGAGCTTGACTTGTGAGATACGTAAAAATAGCTGTTTTTCTTACAGAATGTCTCTTTGTGAATTCATGTCCTTTCCCACAGGCCACTCACTTTGCTGTACACCATGACGGGGAGAAAGATGTGATCACAGGCCTGAAACAAAAGACCTTGTATGGACGGCCCAACTGGGATAACGAATTCAAGACAATTGCAAGTCAACACCCAAAGTAAGGAGTCCCCCACCAAGGTGTTCTTGAGGCTCACGGTCTGCCGAAAGCGGAAGCTCCCAAACACAACTAGATTTGTATATTCCGAAAACTAAAATACCTAGATTACTATATTCACACCCAATAAAAGGTTCTAGATACCTATGAATTTACGAGGGAGGCTTTAGATCACAGCAAAATTACCTGGAGAGTTATTATAAACAAAGATGCTCGGGGTGCCCCTCACTTCTGCCTTTCTGAACCCTGCTCCTCCCAAGTGGGGCCATAACTCAGTTCTTTTCTTTCAGCTCCTAAATCTCACTGGTGTATCTACTTCTTTTAATTCAATATGATTTAGACTTTTATCATTAAGGAGATACCGTCCTCACTTTCAGTTTTAGTTTTTGGGTCTAAGATCATAAGTTGCCAGACATCCTAAGTTCCTTTCTGCCTTCATTAACGCTTTACCCATACTGGAAGTTTGAGGGGATCCTTTCTCTTGCTAGAACACATGATAGACTCAAAGAAATCACCACAAATATACCCTTCACGCCTCTGCTTTTTATCCTTTAATGAGCATATGAATCACTTGGGGATCCTTTCACAACGCAAATGCTGATTTAGTAGGTCTTGGGTGGGACTTGAGAATCTACATTCTTTTTTTTTTTTTAAAGATTTTATTTATTTATTTATTTATTTGAGAGAGAGCATGATCAGGGGGAGGAGCAGAGGGAGAAGGAGAAGCAGACTCCCCACTGAGTGGGGCTCAATCCCAGGACCCTGAGATCATGACCTAAGCCGAAGGCAGAAGCTTAACCAACTGAGCCACCCAGGCGCCCTGAGAATCTACATTCTTAAAAAGCTGAGTAGGAGGCTACTGGTCTGGGACCACACCTTGAGGAACTAGGCTTTAGAGTCTAAAACAGAGAGGGATGAAGCCCCACCCAGCTGTTGTCAGGGTCGGTGAACCAAAAGCAGATTTGTTCCTGATTTCTAGATGCTGGAGAGGGTTTGGGGATATAGAGCCCTGAAGGGAACTAGTCCACAGACTCACCTCTTCACCACCATTTTCTCCGTGGCAGAGGTTTCTATAAACTTTCCTTGAGGGCTATTTCCCAGGGAAGTCAACTGCCTTTTGCAGCTGTCCCCACAAACAGGGCTGAACCACTCTCCCACAGGGTAATCTGAACACTGCCCATAGTGGAAAAGACAAAGGAGCAGGGGGGCACTCTGCCCTAGAGCCTAAAATCAAGAGGAAATGCCCTCACGTGCTTTGTAGTCTGTCTCATCCAAAAGCCTGACACTGTTTTATTTTTCCTTTCTTTCCCCCAAAGTACCAGAATAGGAGTTTTCCTGTGCGGACCTGAAGCCTTGGCTGAAACCCTCAGTAAACAGTGCATCTCCAACTCTGAGTCTGGCCCCCGGGGAGTGCATTTCATTTTCAACAAGGAAAACTTCTAACTGGTGTCTTCCCAGGAGATCAGTGTGGGTTATGCCACCAAGTACCTAACCCAATAATGCTAGTTGATCATGTAAATTCCCCCCTTAAAAAAAGAGAGAGAGAAAATGAAACTATAAGGGGAAGGTTTTCCCTGAAAGGAGTGTTAAAGATTGTTTGATAGTGATAATTTGCATTTGTATGGGGCTTTATGGTTTTCAGAGCACTTTTACAAACTTGATTTCATGTTTTACTCACAATAATGCCAGAGAAAGGTAGGGCTAGGGTTCCTGGACTCAGTGTTTAGGATTTAAAAAAAAAAAAATAGGGACTCAAAATGGTGAAGTAACTTGCCGGAGATTATGAAGCGTGGACCAGATCTAGTCCATGCGGCCCCAGGTTTGGTGGTCTTTCTGTGATACCAGGCCACCTGGAAGTAAGTTCATATACTCCCCCAAAAAAGCAACAATCCAGGGAGTGGCCATTCATTTTCCATCTTGTGTTATCTTTGTTATCATTGTTGTCATAGTGAATGAACTCTTCCAAATATTTAGTAGATAATATATGCCGAGAGGATTGAACACTTAGGAGGGTCAGGATGGCCATCGGAGCAGGCTCCAGCTTAGCTTTGCTAATTAACGTATCACTCGGCATTTACAATGATGCTTGGCAGAGTGGATACTCGGTGAAAGTTTGTTGAATGAATGAATGAAAAGACATCTAGAACCATACAAGGCCCGGAGAGAAATAATTTAAAGCCTTAAACTAAGAATTGTGCCAAATATGTATCTGATATGCCCAGCTGCTTTAAATAGCATCTACCCCTTGTTTTATTTAAATACACACACAAAAATGGCTCTTATTTGTGTGACTGCTGGTTTCTTGTTACATCATCATCATCATCATCATCAAATTTATGTCCTAGAAACCAAAATCCCCAGCTTACTGTGTAGGTATTGGATTCACACCCAGGAGAATGTTCTAGATATCCATGAGTTCAAGAGAGAGTCTCTAAATCACTGTTAGTGTGGCCAGAAACAGGGTTGTTGTTTTTTTTTTTTCTTAGAGCCGCTGTTATTTCTGGAAACTAAAAATAGCTTTATTTGCCCTACCCTGTGGAGCCACAGATATTTAGAACTACTTAACTTTGGTAATGAGGAAGAAATGAGAAGAAAGCTGGGGGAAGGGCACAAGACTGGGTTAGGAGAAAAGAGAACAGGAGGCGAACGAGAGAAAGCAAAAAAGGCACAAGGGAAGGGGAGAGGTGGGGGTCTCACACTGGTCACTTTCCACCCCAGATTCCTTAGTCTTGTATGTATTGAATGTAATTGAAGGAGGCTTACACATGCTCATTTTATGTTGATTACATGTGGTATTGAATCTGAGATTCTGGCTGCAAATTTTGATGCTGGGTGGGCATATTCAGAGGACCGGGATGCAGTAGTAAGAACTCGGTTGTTCTCTCAGGACACGCAGGTCACTGCGGGTCCCTCCTGACAAGTCAGGCTTGCCGTGGGCATGTTGCCTCCCCAAAACGTCCCAGCAAGGCTTTTACTCGGAGAGGCTTAGGTCCGGCCTGTTCACACTGCACCCCAGGTATCAGTTCATTCATTCACCAAATTTTTATTGTGCTATTACTCTGACTCAGGCTCTGGTGCTCACAGTCTCAATTCTTTCCACCAGAGCGTGAGCGAGAGGGGGAACCACAGTTCTAGGCGGCTGAGAACCTTGGCCTTCTCTAACCTCCGTGGCATAAGTAAAACCGACTCATCTGTTGCTCTGAAAGTATGTGTCCAGGGTTTTTTTTGTTTTGTTTTGTTTTTTACCTTGATGTGCCAACATAGTTACCAGAGCAGAGAGCCCTGCCCTGCCCTGTGTTACCCTGGTTATGAGATGAAAAATGAGTGTAAGAGTGCTCGTCATTACTCCATTCTTCTCCCAAGCTGCCGGCTTTCAGCTGCCTGCAGAGTTCTTCTGGCTTCCAGGACTTAGCACTTAGTAACAGGTACTGAGAGCGTGATTAAGCATTGCTTTTAATCTCAAGGCTCAGAAGGCTTTTCTTAGTTCCCCTGCTTTTGCAATATTGCATTTATGAAATTTGCATACTTGTAGCTGTTGTATTTGAATAGTTTGGGGGGGCGGGGCCCTGGGAAACAATTTCTAGAAAGAACTAATAAAGCTGTGCTCGACTATTAAAACAAATGAGCTCTCTTGGTGTCTGTGTTATTGATCTTCGTATTAAAGGGTAAATTCACATAGCAGAAATGTGCTCTGCTCCAGTGGGGCTGAGATTCTCTGTGTTTTTGCATGTGATGAGCCGAACGTGACATGATTTATGGGTTGGGAAGGGAAAACTGAGTACTGACTCCAGTGCTCATGGCCTGGTGATCCTCATGGCACTGGTAGGAGACAAGAGTGTCACCTCACATTGGGGACACAATCTCAGAGGCAAAGAAGCCCTAGTATGAGACCGTTTTTGTTTTTTTTTTTCCCCACTTCCACTCATTTTGTAGGCTCGAACTTTGCAGTTAGGTGTCATCAAATCAGATTGTGAATATATACATATGCTCATGGTTCAGTCTTGGCCATTGTTCTGAATGGGTCCATCAGTTAGGATCTGTATGGTCTAGAAAATGGGTAGACGTGTGGGCATGTGTTCTTCTGGGGGGGTTGGCCACAGGGGGAGCAGGAGAGGACAGCACCTGAAACAAATGTCGGTAAGAGAAATAGCTAACATTTAGCAAAACACCTTCGGCTAAGCCAAACATTCTACATACACTTCGGCTAATCCCTTAGGACACTGCAAGGTAGCCATTTTATCCCAATTTTGTCGATAAAAATTGAGGCTGAGGGACAGAGGGCAAATGATCGGCACAAGCCATCTCACAACTAGTGTGTAACCGTCAACACTGATGCACACCTTTCTGGTGAAAAAGTCCATGTTCTTTGTACTACACTAGCAGATTAGTCAAGGTATAAGTAACCAAGGATATTTTCAAAGCTGTTGTGCTAGGTACAGATTATGTACCAAGAACAGCTGGGTGACAGTGGCGGTATAAATCTCTGGTTTATGCCATCTAAATATCTTGGTATCTCTCCCTCTGCCTCTCCCCCTGCTTGTGCTCTCTCTCTGTGTCTCTCTCTCTCAAATGAATAAATAAAATCTTTTTAAAAAATATTGTGGTATCTTAGTTTAGAAATGCTGGTTAACCCAATTCATGCTCATTTTTACTTTCGTTTATTTATGTTTATTTATAATGTTTCTTCAGCTTTATTGGGGTATAATTGACCAATGAAATTTTAAGATATTTAAAGCATTACAACGTGATGATTCACCAAATAATGTTTTTCCAAAGAACAACTTTTACCTGTATAACCGCAAGGCAATGAACAAATCCAAGAAATGTAACAGTGATACTCTATCGTCTATGTACAGGAGACTTTGTATCCTCAGCGCATTGCATCAGGTGGTAGGTACTCTCAGTTTGTCCTGTTATTGGCAGTTTTAAGTTTGATCACCAGATTTTTCTGTTATAAATGTAAAGGCTTCATTTTACTTTTGTAAATAGTAAGTCACATTTGGGGGATACTCTGGGACCGTACGAATCTCATTTTCTCCAATAGCCTTTTAACCAGTTATTTTGGCAGACATTAATGAAATTTCACTGAATCAGTTTCAATGATGGTTACAAAAGATCTGGATTCTTAAACCTCAATAATCTGTACAATGGACAAAGGGTTGATTTAATACTTTTATATATTGCAAAATGATTACCACCATATCATTAACTAACATTTCTGTCCTGCCCCTTAATTACCATGGATTTTTGGGGGGTGAGAACATTTAAGATTTAGTCTCTCAGCAACATTCAAGTATATAATACAGTATTAGCCATAATCCCATTCTGTACCTTAGATCCCCAGAACTTGTTCATCTCGTAACTGTAAATTTGTATATACTTTGACCAATATCCCTCAATGTCCCCCACACCCCAGTACCTGGTAACCACTACATTACTCTGTTTCTCTGGGTTCAACTTTTATAGATTCCACATATATGTGAGATCATACAGTATTTGTCTTTCTTTGTCTGATTTATTTCACTTAGCATTATGCCCTCAAGTTTCATCCAGGTTGTTGCAAATGACAGTTTCCTTCTTTCCCATGGCTGAATAATATTCCATTGTATATTTATAAATCATCTTCTTTATCCATTCACCTGTTGCTGGGCACTTAGGTTGTTCCACATCTCGGCTCTTTGTGAAATAATGCTGCAGTGAACATGGGAGTGCAGACATCTCTATGAGATCTAATTTCAATTCTTTTGGATACATACCCAGAAGTGGGATTGCTGGATCATAGGGTAGTTCTATTTTTAATTTTTAATTTTTCGAGGAAACTGCATATTGTTTTCCATAGTGGCTGCACCAACTTACATTTCCACCAACACTGCACAAGGGGTCCCTTTTCTCCACATTCTTGCCAACACTTGTTATCTCTTATCTTTTTGATACTAGCCATGCTAACAGGCATGAGATGACATCTCATTGTGATTTTGATTTGCATTTCCCTGATGATGAGTGATGTTGAGCACCTTTTCAGGTACCTGTTGGTCATTTGTGTGTCTTCGTTGGAAAGTTGTCTATTCCTCTGCCCAGTTTTTAATTGGATTGCTTGATTATGCTATTGAGTTGTAGGAATTCTCTCTATGTTTTGGATATTAACCCCTTATCCAATGTGTGATTTGCAAACATTTTACCCCATTCAGTAGGTTGCCTTTTCGTTTTGTTTGTTGTTTCCTTCACTGTGCAGAAGCTTTTTGGTTTGATGTAGTCCTACTTATTAATTTTTGCTTTTTTTGTTTGTGGTTTTGGTGTCATTTCCAGGAAATCACTGCCAAGACCAATGTCAAGGAATTTTCTTCTTAAGTTTTCCTGTGGGAGTTTTCTGTTTTCAGGTCTTATGTTTAAGTCTTTAATCTATTTCAAGTTCATCTTTGTGAGTAGTGTAATATAGAAGAATTTCATTCTTCTTATGTGGTTATCCAGTTTTTCTAGCGCCACTTATTGAATAGACTATCCTTTCCCCCCATTGAGTATTCTTGGCTCCCTTGGTAAATATTAGTTGCCCCCATATGTGGGGATTTATCTCTAGGCTCTCAGTTCTGTTTCATTGGTCCATGTGTCTGTTTTTATGCCAGCAACATACTGTTTTGATTACTATAACTTTGTAGCATAGTTTGCCTCTGGCTTTGTTCTTTCTTAGGATTGCTTTGGCTATTCCAGGTCTTTTGTGGCTCC